CTATCATGTTTTTAATATCTATAAACTCAGTTTTTTCCGATTTCCTTTTACTGAAGTGTTTTATTTTTTGGTACACCATCTCATATGATAGATATTACGTTATACTCTTTTTGAAGTTTTTATATGTTTCTGACATTGTTTCCATTTTCTGTTTGTTTTGGTCTTTGAATTCCATATTAGATGCTGTACTTAAGTATCTGATAATTTTTGGCTGTTTTTTGATATTGATCAGTGAGGGACTGGAAAACTAATTGGAAGTGCTGTGTATTTGGGCACATAACTTGTAGTCTGATAGGTTTACTGTAACCTTAGCTACTAGTGTTTTTCTAAAGGTCTTTTAATTTTGTCAGTTTCCCTAGGGAGGAATCCTCTAATCTCTCAATCTCCTGCCTGTTCTGCTTAAGTTTGGCTTCTGGCCTTCTGAGAGCCTACCAGTGGAAGCCAGCTGTGTGGGGGGGGACAGGGAAGAATACAAGTTTTTTAGGTACTAAAAGTAAAATAACCTCCTGATTTTAATTTTAAGCAAGTTGTGATGATGCTTCTTCAAAACCCTTGTGATATAAGGCTAAAATGTGTCATTGACAGTTGCAAAACCTCATATAGTAAACAATTTAAATTGCTAGATGAATAAATAAATAAAATTTTCCATTTTCTAGAACAACACTAACCTATAGAATTTTTTGCAATGTTGGAAGTATTCTAATGAAGTAGTCTGCATGTGCAATAGAGCAGCCATTAGCCCGATGCAGACATTAAGCATTGAAATGTGAGGAGTGTAGTTGAAGCAGTGAATGTATTATCTTGTTTAATTATAATTCATTAAATCTTAAATTTAAATAGCACATGTTGATAGGGGCTACTGTACTGAATTGTGTAATTCTGGACCTTTTGTTTGTAAAAAATGCTATGTCTCTATAACTGAGGTAAACAAAACTATTTGATCATAAAATATTTAAATTGATATCTAGCATTCTTTTTTAATGCAAAAAAGACAAGGAAAAACAAATTTTAGAAAATTGCATTTGAAAGTAAATAGATTTTGCAAGCTAGGTATTAATCCATTAAATTTAAGCTTTTATAATAATCTTATTTAAATTTTGTTTACTTCCTTATTTCACAAGTAAAATTACTGGTTCTTGACTCTGAGGATGGGACCATGGCAGGGGAAAGGGTTGAGAATTATCAGAATCTCCAAACTGTTTGGTTTTCCTCCTCCCTCTCCCGCATATATATTATCTATGTAAATATATAAAGGCAAGAAAATAATTGAGAACCAAAAATTTAAGGTAATTTACTTTAAAATAATTTATAATTTATAGGCATACTTTAGTGACAGAATGATGCCTATTAACCAACATATGTAAGATGTTTTTATATGTTTGAAATATTCTAAACAGAAGGTCCAATTACTTCTCTTATGGCAAGGTAATGGATATTTATTTTTCTAGTCTCTCTCTCTGCTCAAAATTTTCCTAAAGATTTACTTAAGAAGTACTGAATATGGAGACTTAGGGTTTAGATATCAGAGTACTAAACTTATATCATAGACAATCCTACATTTCCTTTAAAATACTTCAAGGAAATCAGTTGTACTAGACAGAACAAGTCAGAGTCCAAGCTAATGCCATAAATTTATAAACACCGTAATCAAACAAAAGTCAGTTCCTAAGTTTACTCTCACACCCAGAAACCAACAAATTAGTATAAAGTAATAATTAGGGCTGATGTTCTCAAACTAAATCAAGTATTTCAGAGAGCAACACTAAATTGAATGTATCATCCAAAACCTAATAATACCTCCTAAATGGGAAGAAAATACTCACCAAACCAAGTAATGTGAACAGGAAGCTGGCATTTAATGAATCTCATGAGAGAATGAAGAGCCTAGGTCTTCTAAAAAAATATGGCATTTAACCTTGCATAAGCTCTCATTTTAAAAAAGTGCAGAAAATTGACAGGATATCAAAATACTCCACCCTCAAACTTCGCCTGGAGGAAAAAACTCAATCTGGAAGAAAACATAACCCAAGAACAGAAGGAAATTCCTCCATAAGAGATTTATAGAAGGCTTGAGTAAGAACATGGTTTCAAAAAAATACCACAAAAATAGAATGAGAAAACATGAGTAGTAGTATATAAAAAGAATAATTGCAGATTAAAAGTACAAATTGACTTAAATAATATCATTACCCAATATAGTAGAACCAAGGAACAGGTTTGCAACAGTGAAGTTAGAGAAATGAGATTAAAGCAGTAAGTAAGGATATAATTACAATGTGAAATTTTTTCTTTGAAAATTTGAATAGCTTAAATTTCTTATAAAATAAAATTAAGTAGCTAGTAGCTACTGTATTGGACAACACAGCTGTATAACATTTCCAACATCACAGAAAGTTCTATTGGTCAGTTCTGGTATAGAAGATGGAAAAATATATTTATTGACTAACATTTTTAATTATCTACTATGTGACATTTTACAACTGTTAATGATAACACCTAATGCTATATCAACAAGGATATATTCTGTTTCCATGTGGAAGAGATAAGCAACTTCAAGTGTGAGAAACACAAAAATTTTACCTGAAATTAAGAGTTTCAGCTTAAAAGGGCATCCAGTGCTACAGGGGACAAATAATACAAAGCAATAATCAGAGATATAGCCCATTTATGTTATTGCTGCAAAGAAAGTTATTCAGTCTATAAGGTAGAAAAGGCAAGTCACCTGCAAAGGTGGAAGGCTTCAGACATCTTCACAGCATCGTTCTTTGTCCAAAGACAGTGGAGAAATATCTACCTGGTTCTAAGTGAATGAATATATAGTGAAATATTACATGCAACCAAAATGTTAGTCAAGTAAAAAAATATTGAAAACATTATCTATGTATTCACTCACGGAGAGCTTCATTGACTACTCTGTGTAAAGTAATACCTCCTCCAGTTAGTTATTCTGTATTACTTTCCCCTTTTTTCAAGTTTATATCACCACCTTTCTACAACATAACTTCCTGAAAGCAAGGACTTTATTTTGTTCACAGCTATATCCCTGGTGCCTTCCTAACTGAAGTCAGGAATGGTGGAACTGTGCTTAAAGGACGAATGGTGAATCCATTTCAACAAAAAGCTAAACAATTGTGTGTCTTGTTGTGGACAAGAATCAATAAACTTTGATAACATAAAAATAATAGGAGAAAAACTAAATTTGGAGGAGAGGAGGTGGGAGAAAGTGCTAAGTGCTAGCTTCCTCTTTTTTTATATAGGAGAGGAGAAATTGATTTTATTTAAAACTGAAACATGTAAAAAGGAGCACAGTGACTCCAACATCTTACTGTGCTTCATAATCATATTTCTAATCTTACTAGAGAATACATTAAGAAATAATATCTCTTAGGGTAAAGAATCACTTGTCAGTTCTTCAGTTCTTTCAATTTTACTTCATTTTTGTTTTTTTAAAAAAAGCAAAATGTTAATTTTAGAATTAAAGTATTTTATTATATACTGTTGTGGAAGTATTTTGTCTAGCATACCTATGTATATACATAAGTATATGCTGAGAATGTTTACTTAATGATTATTTTGTGGGAGGGTCGCTATGTTTAATTTTTTTAACTTTATACCTCTGTCATAACTATGATTAAATATCCCTGAAATTGAAAAAAAAAATTGATCTAAATATTTGTGCTAAATGTTGCCTAATATTGACAGTCCAAAATGTGTGGCTCTGAGTATTGGCTAAAGCAATTATTGACTGAATTCTCATAATCAAACATTTATTGAGCGCTCAATGTGCAGTAGACACCATTCTCTGCATTTTACCTTTCTTACTGACTTATTCTTTACAACAACCCAATGAAATGAATATTAATATCTCCATTTTTCAGATGATGAATGAAAACAGAGAGGTACAGTAAGTAGTCAAGGTAACCACAGACACAGTAAAGTCAAGATTTGGACCCAATCTGGTTACAGAATTCAAACTCAAAACCACTATGCTATATTGTACTGTATGTATCACCACTACTTGTTTACATTGGAAAAGGAAGTTACTCTATATTTTGTAAGACACAATGTTTTTCTAGGAAAGATAGATTCAAAACTTAATGATATACCCAACTTCTAATATAGGCATAAATTAAAGTATGAATGTATTTGTAAGTCTTGTATGAGGTGACTAAAATATTTGATAGTTAATGTATTTTCCAGCAGATTAGTTGGTGTGAGTCTAAGCATAAATAAATCTGATCTTGAAATGTAAAAGTTGCAGTTTAGACTAATTTATGGCATAGCACGAGATTATGTTTATTAATCCAATACCCTACATTATCTTTATGATTGTGGCTAATAAAAAATACGACTATTGCATGTTCTTTCCTTCTCCAGGAAACTTGTGTACTTTTTCCTTTGCTTTCCTATGTTTTTTTATGTCGCTACTCGCTAGGTCAGCTTCCGAAAAAGAAAAGGTAAAATTGGAATTCAGTGTCTCTCCATTTAATAGAGATTTTAAATTCTTTTTTCATTCTTAAGAGACATAGGCTTGCAGGTGCAAAACTAGTGTTTGAGGGCAAAATAAGTGGCTTTATTCTTAGTTATTACTTCACCCATTATTTCGGTGAATGAGTTTTTTGAATTCTAGTATTACAAACCAGTAAACAGATTATGCACATGCTTTATTTTTACCTTGTGGCAAACATAACAATAATTACATGTACGTAAGTGCTAATTCCGGACTTTGCTCTAAGTGTATACATTTTTTTTAAATGAGCATAGCCTCTTGTTGCAATAACATTTTATTTTTGTTAGTGTAAAACTGAATCTTTTCGTTAAAATTTAAATGTCACATTTAATTTTATATATATCATTTCCTCTATTTTAGAAATATCTATTTTGTCATAATTTAAAGCATCAATTTTTAACAAATTGGAAAGCTCTATTGCTAACACTTAAGGAAGTTGTTATATTTCTTTACCACAGATGCTCAATAATGTATCATTCTGCTCTCACAGGAGCTTCCTGCACCATTACTTGATGATAATTGTGAAAAAGAATTTGGTGAAGATGTATGCAGTCATAAAACACCAGAATCTAACATTAAGATGAAAATTGCCTGGCGTTACCAGTTATTACCTGAGATGGAGGCAAGTCAACGTACAAACTTTCTACAATTAGCAAATCTTTTTTTCATTCTCTAGAATCTCTTGTGGTATACCTGTTATTCTTCAAATGCCATGCACAATATATATGTTTATGTAAATAATTAGATACTTAATATTATTTTTCCAAGGTGATGTTTCTTAAAGTAAAATTATGGCAAAGTTTTTTCTACTAAAACAGCTTATTTCATTTTTCTGTTATCTCCATACAGTCTTTCATTCCAGGGTTGCAAGCTAGAGTAAGTGACTTAAGCCATTTCTATCCAGTATGGTTACCTGTAAATATTCAATGTAAGTGATAGTAAAAACTACTCTTACTATTCCTATATATTTTCATCCATTAAAGTTTCACACTCAGCTGTCTGGTAATAACCTCACCTATCCAGGATAGATTAAGAGACAGGAAGTAAGGGGGAAATTTCTGAGAAGTCAAAACAAATGTAAATAAATCTGCCCATTAAAACTCATGAACTCTGCTCTGGTGAAGACTGTTATTTATTAGCTCCCTCATTTAATTGTCTCCTTCATTCATTTTTCAGAAAACTTTAATGCCTACCAGACATTATCATACAAGTAGAAAAGAGAGCGAAATTCCAATCTGAATGAAGACACATAGTCCACTGTTCTCTAGTCTTCCACACTGACATCACATTACCTTTCCTAAGGATAGAAATATATTTACAACACTCCTTAATTACAAATGCCTAATTTGGTTTCCTGTTTCCACTGCCCCCTTCTAAATGCATGGCAGACTGTCAAACATAGTACCCTCCTGCCAAGCTTAGACACAGCCTTTAATTTCTCTGCAGAATGTTCTGGGTGGTCACTACCAGTTAACATACGAGAGTTAGTATGTGAGATGAAACCTGTTTGGTATTATAAGCTCGCAATATGAAATACAAACTTCTCCATATTACATACAAGATATGTATAACCTAATCCAAGCCTACCTTTTTAGTCTTCCATGTATATATTAAACATTATATTTACCTGTCCTATGAGAATGCTCCTTCTAAATTGCTTATATTTCTGTTGATAATGCTCTTCACTTTCTTATTCACCAATTTTTCCTACTCCAAGTACAAAAATTACTACCTGTGACAACTTTCCATATATAATTGCCCAGTTTCTTATTTTCATTTCCATAGCACTTCATGTACTTCTATACATTGTTTTATAGTCAATTATTAATATAACTCTCTTTTCCACAAGAGGGAATTCTCTTTGAGGGCAGAGAGCTTGTTTTATTTTCTCTTGTGTCTAGCACCTATGTTAATGCTCAGATAATAAATATTTAGTGAATGATAAATGTATTTGTACCTTCAGTCAGCAAATATTGATTAAACATCAACTGTGTACCAAGTATGAAATATATTGTAATAGGTGCCTGTTAAGCAATGGTAAGCTGTTCTAATTTAGATGAGAAAGCTGTTTGAATAACCATGATTTTTAAGGGTGATTTAAATGACTGCAAACAAACTACAAAATAGAGGATATTTGCAACTCATATAACAGAATAAAGAATAAACTTTCCTTATATTTTAAGAACTTATAAAAAGGAAGAAATCCACCCATCCAATTTTTTTTAAATGGGCAAAAATATGACAGGGTTTAGGTGGCTCTTGAACACATAACCACAGATGCCAATTTCAGTTTCAGTAAGAATACTGACCTGCAATTTTTCTCTGATCAGATTGTCAATATCTAAAATTTTTTTTTTTTTCATTTTGAGAGGGCATCTCTCATATTTATTGATCAAATGGTTGTTAACAACAATAAAATTCAGTATAGGGGGGTCAACGCTCAATGTACAATCATTAATCCATCTCAAGCCTAATTCTCGTCAGTCTCCAATCTTCTGATGCATAACGAACAAGTTCTTACATGGTGAACGAATTCTTACATAGTGAATAAATTCTTACATGGTGAACAGTACAAGTGCATTCATCACAGAAACTTTCGGTTTTGATCATGCATTATGACCTATAAACAATCAGGTCAAATATGAATATTCATTTGATTTTTGTACTTGATTTATATGTTGATCCCACATTTCTCCTATTATTATTATTATTTTTATTTTTAATAAAATGCTGAAGTGGTAGGTAGATGCAAGATAAAGGTAGAAAACATAGTTTAGTGCTGTAAGAAGGCAAATGTAGATGATCAGATGATCAGGTGTGTGCCTATGGACTAAGTATTAATCCAGGCTAGACAAGGGCAGCAAGACATCCACGGATGCAGAAGATTTCTCTCAAAGCAGGGGGGGTGAGGTTCTGAGCCTCACCTCTGTTGATCCCCAAATTCTCACCTGATGGCCCCCCTGCGACTGTGCCTGTCTTAGGTTGTTCCTCCCTTGAGGAATCTTACCCGTCTCTGGCTAACCAGTCATCTTCCGGGGCCATACAGGGAAATGTAAAGTTGGTAAGTGAGAGAGAAGCCATATTGTTTGCAAAGGTTAGCTTTTTACTTCTTTGCAGATTTATGCCCTGTGGCTTCTATGCCCAGCACTTGTCTCGAGGTATCTTTACCACCTGGAGGAATTATGATACTCGGTAAATTCGATATGAGGCACGAATTCTATTTAAGGGTTGTAATTAGGAAGGAAGAAGAAAAGCTATAGATGTAGCATATGAAGGAAACTTGGGAGGATTGATTATTTCTTTGACATATCTTCTTGTATAGTACCTTAAGTATGTATAGGTTTTAAACTACTAACTAATTTGCACACACATATTAACATAATAGGAATACGGTGACATAAACAAAGCAAATCTATAATTACCAGCCATCTCCAGTGAAGCCAAGAAAACCATTTAGGCACCCTAGGCATTTGTGAAAATTTATCTATGATATGATGGATATTTTCCAACTGTACTTGAACCATCAGACAAATTAAAGCAGCCCATTTCTGGGATCTGTTCACATCCCATATGTTCTTTTAACCATAGATAGTCTATAGTCATGAGATTTTGGGGTGCTACAACTTGCACCCCTCCCAACTCCTGGTTGAGTTCCAACAGTACAGATCCAGTCAAATTCGTTGTCTCACTGTATGCACATGCCAGCCTAGACATCTCCCTCCTCCTTCTTATGGCAAGTCCAGGAGACGGTGGGCTGGATGCAGCCACAACCGCAGCATCGTCCGGATCCCTGTGGAGGCTTTTTGATGATCATCCCCCGGCACGAGTCCTCCAGAGAGTGCTGATGCCGGAAGCTCCTCCTCATATCGTATCTTAGTTCATTTTCTGGGTATCCAAGCTAGGCCTTGATCTTCTGCGTAGAAACAAACAGACCCTTTGCCCACACTTTGACATGCCCTCTATACCACTGTGCAGAACTCATTGGAGGTCAGCACACAGTAACTGCTTTTTTTTTTTTTTTTTAATTAAGAGAAAGGAATATTATCAGAAAAGAGTACCTCCATAGCTGATCATCTGACACCCTTTAAGTGATCAACATTAAGGATATTTAAAGCATGCGTTGATCTTTGATTTACCAATAGTTTTATCCTGTTAAGGAGTAATCCCCCTTTTCTTTCTTTCTTTCTTTTTTTTTTTTAAATTTTTAATCTACACTTACCTGAAGAATACTATGTTTACTATGCTCTCCCCTATATCAGGTCCCCCCTAACAACCACATTACGGTTACTGTCCATCAGCTTAGCAAAATGTGGTAGAGTCACTACTTGTCCTCTCTGTGTTGTGCAGCCCACCCTCCCCTTTCTCCCTCCCCCCCATGCATGCTAATCTTAATACCCCCCTTCTTCTTCCCCCCCCTTATCCCTCCCTGCCCACCCATCCTCCCCAGTTCCTTTCCCTTTGGTACCTGTTAGTCCATTTTTGGGTTCTGTAATTCTGCTGCTGTTTTGTTCCTTCAGTTTTTCCTTTGTTCCTATACTCCTCAGATGAGTGAAATCATTTGGTATTTCTCTTTCTCCGCTTGGCTTATTTCACTGAGCATAATACTCTCCAGCTCCATCCATGTTGCTGCAAATGGTTGGATTTTTCCACTTCTTATGGCTGAGTAGTATTCCATTGTGTATATGTACCACATCTTCTTTATCCATTCATCTACAGATGGACATTTAGGTTGCTTCCAATTCTTGGCTATTGTAAATAGTGCTGCGATAAACATAGGAGTGCATCTGTCTTTCTCAAACTTGATTGCTGCGTTCTTAGGGTAAATTCCTAGGAGTGGAATTCCTGGGTCAAATGGTAGGTCTGTTTTGAGCATTTTGATGCACCTCCATACTGCTTTCCACAATGGTTGAACTAATTTACATTCCCACCAGCAGTGTAGGAGGGTTCCCCTTTCTCCACAGCCTCGCCAACATTTGTTGTTGTTTGTCTTTTGGATGGCAGCTATCCTTACTGGTGTGAGGTGATACCTCATTGTAGTTTTAATTTGCATTTCTCTGATAATTAGCGATGTGGAGCATCTTTTCATGTGTCTCTTGGCCATCTGTATTTCTTTTTTGGAGAACTGTCTGTTCAGTTCCTCTGCCCATTTTTTAATTGGGTTATTTGTTTTTTGTTTGTTGAGGCGTGTGAGCTCTTTATATATTCTGGACGTCAAGCCTTTATCAGATCTGTCATTTTCAAATATATTCTCCCATACTGTAGGGTTCCTTTTTGTTCTATTGATGGTGTCTTTCGCTGTACAGAAGCTTTTCAGCTTAATGTAGTCCCACTTGCTCATTTTTGCTGTTGTTTTCCTTGCCCGGGGAGATATGTTCAAGAAGAGATCACTCATGTTTATGTCTAAGAGGTTTTTGCCTATGTTTTTTTCCAAGAGTTTAATGGTTTCGTGACTTACATTCAGGTCTTTGATCCATTTTGAGTTTACCTTTGTATATGGGGTTAGACAATGGTCCAGTTTCATTCTCCTACATGTAGCTGTCCAGTTTTGCCAGCACCATCTGTTGAAGAGACTGTCATTTTGCCATTGTATGTCCATGGCTCCTTTATCAAATATTAATTGAC